CTCCCACTTTTGTAAAGGTCTTTGCAGACCTCTCATGGATGTCGCCCCTGTTCCCCTGCTGGCCAGGAGAATACTCAGTGAGTCCCTGCCGCTTACAGGAAAATGTCTCTGAGGCACACACACTCCTAGCCCGCCACCCCAGCCCTGCACTCTGTGCCCCAACTGTAACTCTCACGTGACACCAGCGGGGGGGGGTTCCCCAGACCCACCTGGTTCTTCCTAACCTCCCTCCCCCACTGCCACACCTTTCCCTCTGCCTGGACCACCGTTCCTGCCACTGCCATGTAGCCAAACTCCAAAGGCTACCTCCTCCAGGAAGCCTTCCCAAATCTCTAGCTGGCAGGATCTCCCTCCTCTGCACACCATAGCACCCACCCTGTCCCTTTTTTTTTTTTTTTTTTTTGAGAGAGAGAGAATGAGAGAGAGCACATGAGAGAGAGAAACAGACTCACTGCTGAGCAGGGAGCCCGATGTGGGACTCGATCCAGGGACTCCAGGATCATGACCTGAGCCGAAGGCAGTCGCTTAACCAACTGAGCCACCCAGGCGCCCCCTCCCTGTCCCTTTTACAGAGCATGCATCACACCGGACCTTGGGGCACCTCGGCTTGCCTCCTCTGGGCTCCTCACGCTGGGAAGGCTGCCAAGGGTGATGTCAGGACAGAGGGCTTGGAAAGAGACAGATCTGGCCTTGCCCCTGAACTCCACCCCTCCCAGGCGGGTGCTGTCGGGCACTGCCATGCTCTGCTGTGGCACCAAGGTCCGACGTGAAGACTGGGGAAGAACTCATACCAGCTCACACCCATTAGCATGGCTGCTATCGAAACAAACAAACCCCAGAAAATACCAAGTGTTGACAAGGCTGTGGAGAAACTGGAACCCTCGTGCCCTGTATGGGGGGATGTAAATTGGGCAGCCGCTGTGGAAAAACAGTATGGAGCTTCCTCAAAGCATTAAAAATACAATTACCACATGCTCCAGCCACATCATTTCTAGGTATTTCCCTGAAAGGATTGAAAGCAGGGTCTCCGAGAAATACTTGCCCACCCACAAATAGCAGCGTTATCCACAAGAGCCAAAAGGATGACACCACCCAGGTGAACAAAATGCGGTCCCTCCGTACAGGGGAATGTTATCGGCCTTAAAAGGGAAAGAAATCTCATCACGTGCTACAACCGGAATGAACTCGGGGGTCGTGAAGGCAAAGTGAAATAAATGAGTCAGAAAAAGACAAAATACCGTCTCATGCGAGGTGCCCGGAGTGGTCCAATTCAGAGACACACAGAAGACTGGTGGCTGGCAGGGGCTGAAGAGAGAGGCAGGGCGACTGTCCTCTAACAGGTTTGAGTTTGGTTAGAGTAAAAGCATCCTAGAGTTGGGGTCACACAGCAGTGCGCACGCACCTCATGCCACTGAACTTGGTACCATTTAGAATGGTGAAGAAGATACAATATATGTTACGTGTGTTCTGCCACAATTTAAAAGAAACCCCAGAGCACTGGGATTCTATCACCCTGCCCCTAAGCCACTGTTCAAGGTTTCCCAGCAGGGTGGGCCCCAGTGGGCTCCACCCCATCGGCCCCAGCTAACCAGGAAAGAACCCCAAAGAGGAAGGCATGACACCTGCTGAGCTCGGATGAGCGTCACCTCCCTTGTGGGTAAAGGAGAGGTGACAGAGACAGAGAACGTGCCTTTCCTCCTTGGACAGTGACGGGTTGGGCAGCAGTCCCCAAGGGCACAGGGTGGCAGGTGTTCACGCCCACACAACAATGCCAACTGGGGAAACAGATGGCCACATCCTCCTCTGTGACTTTGCAAAGAACAGTGTGTGAGGGTCTGATCACACAGGACTCAGATTCACACCCAGCAAGCATTTAACGAGTTGCTACCATGCCCCGGGCTGTTGGCAAGGTGTTTTCGTTTTAATTCAGTCATTCATGTAATAAATACTGAGCGCCTACACGGTGCCAGGCACTGATCCAGGCACTGTGAGTTTGCCAGGGCACAGAATCAACATCCGTACTGCCGTGACACGTACACAGTGCTGGGGAGAGTAGCCCCACCATTGTGTCCATCTTGCAGAGGAGACCGAGGCTCAGAGCAGTTAGGCAACTTGTCCAGCGTCACACAGCTGGCAAGCGGCGGAGCCTGGCTCCGGTGTCTTACCCGCCCTGTCGTACTGACAGTATCCCGTGTAAATAAGCACGTTCCAGTTTATTGCAGCCGTGGAGGCTGAGGGATATTCCGGACTGGGAACCCGGAGTGATGAGCCCTGCTGCACCCTGCCCCTCTTTGCCTCCGAGGACGTGACCGTAACCTGAGAGCTGATGGGTCTGATTCCCAGAGATTTACATCTGTTCTTCCCTTCTGTTCCTTCCTTCAGCCTCACGGGACGGCTCTCACACTTCCGTGTGGAGAACAGCCTTACTACGAACGGCCGTAACGCTAGAACCAGCTTCAGTGGACAGCGTCAGGTGCTTTTCCCAAGTTGCTTTACGACATGTGGGATTTTTACATCCACTGTTGCCCTGGGCACTCTGTCCCTAGAAGGTGTGCGTCCACTGGGGTCAGGCTAGGAGTGTTGAAGGTTGGCACAGGAAGTCTGGGAGTCTGGTTGTGGGGATCTGGAATATTAGACAATTCCAGGACACCAGAGAGAAGAGAGTCAGAGCCCGCCAAGCTCTGGGCCCAGGGAACAGAAGTGCAGGCCCCAGAGACTTTCCCACAACCCTCACAACAGGAAATGGGGGTTTCCAGGCTGCATCCAGCAAGAAGAGGAACAGAAGGGAGGGCAGGGGCTTGTCTGGAGCTGTGAGATCTGTGAAGGCCACTCTGGTGTGGTCCAAGGTATTTCCTGCCCCCTGAGGTCTCTGGTCCTCCCCGGAGCACGATTCTCTAAGTCTCTGCCTTCCACGTTCCTACCTAGGTTATTCTAAGACTTCTAGAGGGCACCTTATCTCCTCCCAGCCCGCCCACCCACTCAATTCCAGCGACAGGGCCCTTCTTGCTAAGCCTTGAGGACGTGACCTGGTTCCCACCTCAGGGCCTTTGCCCATGCTGTCCTTGCTGCCTGGGATTTTCCAAGTGCATGGCAGCTCCTTCTTCCTCCCCAGGTCTCAGCTCAGAAGTCATCCCCTCAGAGAGGCCCTCCTTGACCACCTCATCCGAAGCAGTGCCTCCCTCTCCGTCACTCTCCACCCCTCCCTCTCTGGATTTTACTTCCTTTCATCACTCTTCACCACCTTAATGATCTTGCTCACTCATGCTCCTTTCTGGATTACGGTCTCACGCCTCCCATGACCTCCAAACTCACTAGAAGCTTCTCCACAGCAGGACCTCATTCTCCTATCCGTTTCTCTGTTCCTCCCCCCTACCACAGCATCAAGCGCACTGCAGGTGCTCACTAAGTACTAAGTACGGGGTGACCAGGGGGGCCTGTGGAATGGGTCCTAGTTGCCACAGTCCTCTGAGTCTCTCTCGGATTCCTGCGCTTTGAAATGTAGACGAGGACAGCTACTCAGCCGGGTGGCCATGAGGATTCACTAAGACGCTGTAAGCACAGCGCCCAACACCCATCAGCGCCATGCCCTCCGCAGGAAAGGGGCTCAAGGGAAAGATAAAGCCAGTTCCCTGCCCAGTTCTGGAAGGCTGGCCTTGAAAACGACTCCACGCCTCAGGCAGCCTTGCTGGCTCAAGACCGCTGCGGAGCAACATGGATCGCCTGGCGGGGAGGGGGTCCGAGCCCACCTCTGCCCCACCCAGCGGGGCCACTACAAAGAGGCCCAGGCGGCTCCGGCGGAGGGGCCTACCGCCCGGCTTCCCCGCCACTTCTCACCCGCCGCCTGCACAAAGAACACAAAGCACGCTAAATGGACGGGCGGCCTTATGGACGGGAAAGGAGAGCTGAGCAAGGGTCTCCAGAGGGCAGGCCTTGGCCTGGAACCCCAAGCCACGTGGCCCCCGGGCTGTGGGTGTCCAGGTCCTAGCACACCGGGAGAACTGCACGCAGGACTTACATTCCTGGTCTCCGGAGCAACCAGGGGGGGCGGTACAAACAGCACCCACAGCAACGCTCAGAAACTCGGGGGAATCATCTCCCGGTGGGTGGTTTTTGTTTGTTTGGTTGTTTTTTTTATTGAAACAGTCACGATATGAGGGGAGGAGGGCTTCGATGCCCCCCCTCCCCGCCCCACCGTCTTCAGGTGACCACACCCCCTGGTGCTCGTGGGCCACAAGCCTGCCTCTGGAAAGAGGCAGAGAGCTGACACGGTGGAAATCCCTTTGCCCCGGGAGGCGCACGCTGAGCTCCTTCCTCCGCTTCGGTTCTGGAACTGCCCACCCCGCCCCGTGAATTCTCACTTGGTACAAGGTGACCAGCACCAGTTCCTGCTCTTGACAACCCGAGACGCCCAGCTGCAGGGGGTTCCCTGTGGAGCCTGGAGTCCGGGCAACTGCGTGTGGCCGTGCGCCTGGGTCCTGACCACTGAGAAGCTGAATCATGCTGAATTTGAAGGGGGGCCCTGAGCTGTCTCTTCTCCCTTTCCCACTCCAGAGGCTAGAATGGGGGACCTGGCATGGCGCAGCTTTAAACATCAGAAGGGGCAAGGGCCCAGGGGATGACGATGGGGGTAAGGGTGGGTCCCAGAGTAAGATGGGGAGCAGAGCTGCCACTCCAGCCCCCACCATCCCCTCTGTTCTGTGTCAGGGAGAAATAAATGATCTGATTTAAGTCACAGTCTTCAGGCTCTTTGGTTGGTAGGACCTTAGGCTGTATCAGAATATACATTGCATGGGTCAAAAAGAAAAGAAGACAAGATGAAACCCTTCGGTAGGGCCTTGAGAGAAGAACAGAACCCTGAAAGAACCAAGCCTCTTTGTCCAGCCTCTAAGAAGCGTCCCTGTTCTGGGTGTGGCAGGGAGAACGGGGTCTCGGGGGACCAGTCTCCCCAACCAGCCCTCTGCCCCTAGCCGGCCTGCTGAGGCCGAGGCCAGGCAGCTCACCTTTTTCTCATCCCCGCCTTGCAGGAGATGCAGGGTGCTCCTCGGGTCCCCCTCGCGCTGCCTCAGGGTGTTGCCGTGGGTCTGGGGCAGGCCTGAGGGCGGGGAGATGCTGCGGCCCTGTGGGTCCACCCAGGTGTAGATGTGGTTGGTGACGTAGCCCCTAGGGATGCGCCCTGCTGAGCACACAGACAGCACCAGCTTCTTTGAGCCCTTCAGAGCCTAGAGAGGGAGAGAGAGAGAGGGATACAGGGGTTAGTAGGAAGGGGGCAGTGAGGGACAACCCTCCCAGTACCCAGAACTTACTTCCCACACCGGGAGCAGGAGGCCAGTCCCTGAATCATCCCCCATTTTTTTTCTCTAGCCCTCAATTTTTATCCTATGGAAACGAGGACATCCGTCCCACCCTATCTTGAAGTGGATCAAACCTCTCAGCACAGCTGTGCAGAGAAGAGTTAACACAGCAGGCCTAAGACTGCATCCTCAAGAAGGCCTGCTTGGCTGGCACCTAGGAACCTGGATTCTGAGTGTTCCTCCCATTCCCTAATTGGGAAGGGTGGCTCACCGTGCCTAGGTTCCTTGTGCAAACTATGTTGGGGTCTGGAATGTGGGTCCAGGCAGAGAGGACCTATGTGACCATACCCCAATAAAAGCCCTGGCACTGATTCTCTAAGGAGCATCCCTGGTGGACAATATTTCCCAGCTCATCCTGGGCTCATCCTGCAGCAAAGGGAGACTCAGAGGCTTGCGCCTGGTTTCCTACAGACTTTGTCCCCTGCACCTGTTCCCTGTGCTCATTTTGCTGGGTATCCTTTTGCTGTCATAAATCTTAAAAAAAAAATTTTTTTTATTTATTTGAGAGAAACAGAGAGCACGCGTGAGAGCACGAGGGACAGGGGGCAGAGGGAGAGGGAGAGGGAGAGGCAGGCTCCCCACCGAGCAGGGAGCTCGACGCGGGACTCGATCCTAGGACCCCGGGATCGTGACCTGAGCCGAAGACAGATGCTCAACCCACTGAGCCGCCCAGGTGCCCCTTGCTGTCATCAATCTGAGCCAAAGTACAACTATATGCTGAACCTGTGAGCCCTCGCAGAACCCAGGGGTAGTCTTAGTGGCCCCGACAAGAGAGTCAAGAGATGAAATGACTGATAATGATGGCCGGACGTTTATAAAGAGCCTGCCTGTGTCACTCAGCCCTGCACCTGGCATGCTTTGTCTCCTCCTGAAATCCTCATGGAATCCAATCTTGTCGGGAGAGAGGTCCATTATCCAGATGAAGAAATAGAGGGAAATCGTCTGCCTACATTAGAAGGGAGGGGTTCCTTTTCCATAGTAACTAATTTTGAGTGTAGACACCACCTTCATTCTACGTTTTCCAGTCTGGGGATGGAAGCACCTCGAGGAGAGAGGAGTCCAAACTCTCTGCCCCGGGGTGGATGCTGAGATCGGCCATACTGCTTTCCTACGGGGCACCTGGAGCTGAATGACGCCGTTTATTGAGGGACAGTCACTTAGCGCGAGGATTAATAGCAAACCCTGCAACTGGGGGGCCGGAGGCTGCTCACACGAAGTCCACGCTGCTGCTAAAATCACATTTATAAATGATTACGAAGAGTACCTAACGCCGTGGATCCGTGATACGCTCTACCGCACAGTGGGGTCAGAGGACACCCATTGAATCTTACAGTATGATCTCAGTGATGACGTTAAGATAAAAATCACACAGGAAAAACAAAACAAAACTGAGGAGCGATGCGCCAACATGCCAACAGTGCAGGATTATGGGTGATTATTATTTTGTTCTTCCTGTGTCTCAGTATTTTCCAAGTGTTCCAGAATGAGGATACATTGCTTTTGATCTCAGAAAACAAGAATATGCCTCAAAAAGGGGGAAGGAAGTACCTAGCTCTCTGCCTCCCCCAAGCTTGCCTGGATGTGCCCCGGACTGCATTCTCCTGACTCCCCAGGACTCTGGACAGACCAAAGGGACCAAGGGAGGAGCTTTCCCCCATAGGGGAGAACCCCGGCTGCATGTCTGAGCCTCTTCCAGAGGAGGAAGGGTAAGCCGGGAGGTGCCGGGGCCCCTCAATTCCACAGCTAAATGCCAGTCCCCGGTGGAGGGATAATGAGAATCTGGCAGCTCTCCAAAAGGCTGCTTTTACAAAAGATTTCTGAGAAGATGAGCAGGGAGAGAGTTGGTGCCCTTTTAGCAAGTCCCCCGGACTCCCCCGATAGGACAGCTGGGAAGATAAAATCTGTGCAAAGTTTGAGGGGCAGGATGGAGAGGCTAGTGAGCAAGGAGGCCTCTGGGGGAGCAAACAGGGAAGGGGGGCGTCACAGGGCGGAAGCAACCTCAGCAGATACCTGTGAGGCCCTCTGCCTTCCTGACCCTTCCTCCCCGCCCAGGGCTCCGCTCCCTCCCCCGTGAGGGCACTGCTGGCTGGAGGCGGTCCCACTGGCCGGCTTCTTCCCCGCTCCCTCCCTCGACAGACTGTGAGGCCCGAGCCCGCCACTTACTCGACAAGGGCTGACTTGAGGGCCTACTGCGTGCCGGGCCCAGAGAGAACAGGTGGGCACATCCTCGTGGCACCTGCAGCCGGTTAGAGATGCTACTTCCCCTGGCAGGTCCTCGGAAAAGTCTGGCAACGCCAGAATCAGGAACAGAGGAATGCAAGTGGTAAGAACAGAAACGGTGGACGGAGGCAGAACTGCATTTAAGCCGTACTTCTGTCCCTTATGAGTCATGAGTCCCGGGGCCGGCGCTTCCTGCCTGAAAGCAGCACCATGAAAGGACAATACCCACTTCTCAGCGCGGTGGGGATTCCAGGAGACCATGCGCAGGAGGTCCAGAGCCTGTGCACACAGGAGGAGCTCAGCGGGGCTGAGCCCACTCGCCGCTCTTCCAGGAGTGTCTGCACTGAGAAGGGAAACCAGATGCAGAAAAGCCTCGTCCAAGGAGCTACACAAGGAAGCAGGTGGGGGAGAGCACGCTTTGTATTCTGTAGGCTGGCCAGAGTGGAACTCTCTTGGTCAGTTCTATAAATAGGCAGGCAGCAACCTTGAGAACGGAGAGGAGGTTAGTGCCTTTGATGAGAAGACCATGGAGACCGGGCACTGGGGAGGGCCTGGGAGCACAACGAGTCCCCCACGTGCTGCCTGCCTCCAGTATCTTACAGAAGGGGACTGTGGGAGCCCGACATGGGAAGGGACAGAGAGGGAACGAGTATGAAAAGGACAGCCAAGGACACACAGGAGGCCAGCCCTGGGCAGGCCCCCTCCCCTGTGCACCTCGGTTTCCCCATCACAAGACTGAGGGGCCAGAATATCTGACGGCCACTCAAGTGGAGACCCTTCCAGAACCTCTGATGTTGGCGTTTTTGGTAACTGGGGGCTTCCAGTGGGGTCTTGGAGAGCAAGAACATCACCATCCAAAACTGAACGAGCCCAAGAACAAACCCGAGATTCCTGAGACAGCGCTTGCCACGCCAGAGCAGGCTTTCAGGATAGGCCTGGGTGCAGGGGCCGGGAGACGCCGCTCGAATGCCCACTGCCCTTTTCAACTAAATATGTGTCACGTACGGAAGGCAAGGAGGCGGGGGATGGTCTAAGAAGCTGGTTTCTGTCTTCTTACTGCCTTTTTGTCTCCAGTTTCCCAGACAGCCGCTTGCTTGTTGGAAAGAGTGGCTCTGAACGGAGAAGTGAATTCCTAGAGAGGGCTGGCCGGTGCCCCCAGCCTGGCACACAGAAGGCCACCCCCGGGCTCGGGCGCCGACTGCGCCTCAGGTGCACCCGGCCATTCATTTCTCAGAACCAGCAGCTTCTCTGGCCGGAGCGAGCCTCCATATAGCACGCAGCTTAGGCGGCAGAGGAACCTAGAAGGAACTCCCGCTGCGAAACAGCGGCCCAAGCACGTCCCCGTTGCGCCACTGGCTCGCTGGGTGGCCCAGGGCTATGCCCTTCTCTCGCTGGGCCTCGGTTTTGCCAACTGGCAATGAGCAGCTTGAACTCACTAACAGCGGAGGTCCTGCCCCCATAGGAAACTTCAATGTCTTCTGGTTAGTGGTTCCATCCAGAAGGAAAGGCTGTATTTACCCATGACAGTCATGAGTCATGGCAGCAAAGAGATCAGGGGCTTTGAAATACACAGGGACAGAGTCCAGGCAGCTCTCAGGGAGTGAGTCCTCGAGATTGCGTGGGCTGAGGCTGCTACCAGGTCCTTGAACCAGATCCTGAGCCTGGGGGCTCCGAGGCTCCCTGTCAGCCGGAAGGGACCAACAGCCAGAAGGACAGACGGAGCATCCGAGGTGTGGCAGGATGCACGCGGCAACTCAGCTTTATTGTCGGCAGCAGGGGACCTCCCAAGGGACCCGAGGGCCGGGGAAACAGACATTCCTCCAATGGGACTGCAGCTGTGCAGCTCTGTTCCTTGCAGCCTGTGGGTGGAAAACCACATCCAATACCCACCTTAAAGCAACGTGGATGCTCTGCTTGTGCAAGCTGGTGACTGTCACCCATGCCTGTCTCCTGCGTGGCGGCCCGCACAGCCGGTCTCCTGAACCAACTGTTTATTAGCTGTGCCACCTCACACAGGTTACTGACCCTCCCTGTTCATCTCTTTCTCTCCTGTAAAACGAAGATCATAATTCCACTCTCTCTCTGGATAGAGGGGCCCTATATGGCACAGTGCCTATCACTGGAGAATTCAATGAGCTGTGGCTTAAAAAGGGCACAGTGTGAGACCCAGGGAGAGTCCACTATAGACGGAGCGGTCATCAGAGCACTACTCCCACGCTGTTACCATGGGTTTGCTGCTAAAACCTGACCTAGGGCTCGCGTGCGTTCCACGGAGTCAGATCCTTGAAATCTCGATCTGACCCAGCAGACAGCATGGTTCAGATACCATCCAGCAGCAGATGACTGTTGAGGCAGCGTGTTATGGTTACAGAAATGTAAATTATATGTGTATGTCTTCACACTTAATAACTTGCTACTTGGATTAATGCTCTCAGGAGGCAAATTTGCGTCACTCAGCTCTTCAGAGCCGACTGGATTCACAGCCCAGGCGACGGGATTCTCTGCTCAGCAGAGGACAGAGAAAGCCATGGGAGATGGCCACAGCATAAAGGGGACGGGGCGTTGTGTGTTCACACGGCAGATGCACAGATGCTCCTATGTTCAAGAACACACACCAAAGCGCAAGTGTGAAGTGAACCACAAGGTCA